TCAATTGACGTCACGATATGTGTATATTTTTCTGATCTTTCCAATGACATCAAACTCAATAATTTCCGTAAAACGGTTAATTTTTTATTAAACAGTTCTCAGGACTTTTGAAATGCCCCTCATATGATAGTATTTCTATGTCATGATTCTAATGATATTCACGTTTATTTAAGGAAAGATTTTAAAGGATTTCTCCCCATGTCTGCGTGTAAAATTTGTTACAAAGTTTACGTTCAACCATACCGACGGTGTCCATGATTAGGAAAATAATACAAGCAACTTAGAATAGTACAATGATTTTATAAATGATTATGATAAATATAGGATCTCCCATGGTTTGTGGTTTGATATGATTTTTATCCAACGAGTTGTGTGTTTTCTATCCCCGAGCCTTGGCGAGGGGATAGAAAACACACAACGAGTTGGATAAAAATCATGTCAAACCACAAACCATGGGAGATTCTTTTTTCACATATTTTTGTTCACTTTATATGTGTATTTTGTCTTTATTTATAATTCAATGTTCCCTTTCGGTTACCTCGGACCAAATAACGTAATAAATAATATTACGCTGTATAAAATATTTCGTATAAAAATAAAAGAAAGAAAGTATTTCAGCACTTATTTTTTTGATTCATGAACGAAAATTTGTTAAAATATATCAAATAAAGTGAAATTTGACAAATTAAGTCATTCTATCCATCATACATATGTATTTGTTTATTTACATTACGTCACGCAGCGTAGGAACACATAGTGTTGATACGAAAACGATATCACATGAGCTATATCAACGGGATAAAGGTGAAAATATGTGATATATTGTCATATCACCTACACCGTAATGTACACTTTAGAAGTAATATGTAAATAAACTTTTATTGGATTTTTAATTTTAAAAAAATATAATGAATATTTTGGAGAAAAACGAAAGAAACACGATTTGTAATTTAGAGTATTTTTTTTGCGTTACTGTGTTTATATCAAACAAATAATTTGCCACTGTAGAAACTTGGATTCTATAATAAATCATCGTAAGAATATTTCACTTATTATAATGAATGTTTTATGCAAAGGAATATATCAGTGAACTTTGTGCGCATATATTCTGCACAGTTAACAGTCTTCGAAATCGGCTGTTTTCAACCAATATTGGAATCTGAGCTGCTTCATTATTCAGCGGGTAATGGTATACAGTTAAAGTTTATAATTTATACTGTTAAACTATATAATTAAAGGAGTTAGCATGATTCAAGTTCCCCAGGGATTAGCTTATTTGACGAACACACGGGGATTAGTTCTTCACAGTGATTTTTACTAAAGACCCTAGGAAATCCCAGAGGTTGGATCAGGTGCCCAGGAGGAGTAAGTATCCCCTATTGCCGTGAGCCCGAAATGTTTTAGTGGATTATCCTTAGTCAATATCAAAATAAAATAAGGCCTTTTATTATATGATTGAATAATTTCCATCTCTCTGATTGGCTGAGATCCAACTATGTTAGAAAAATATTACGTTGTATTGACCTGCACGTGACGTTCCAGGTGAATACAAGGATTTTTTCCTCTACATTGATCTGAAAATAGATAGGGAAATTCCAAAGTGATACAAATTGTTTTGGAAAGCTAATTAAACGACTTTGACTTTTTTTTTTCATGTGAACAAAACATAAGCGAATATATATTTTTGGATGAAGTTGGTAAGAGGGGATGTAGGGACCCCCCTCCATCACTTTTACTGAACAACAATTTTTACTTTTTGGCAGTCAGTTTTCCCTGATAATTCCCTTCCTTTCAAAATCCATCCTATAAAAAAGACTGACATTATAAATTTTTTCATGGCAATTAAAATTGATAAAAAACATTTCAAATTGATATGACTGATAAGGTTTATTTACATTGTAAGTCTTCTTCTCTCTTGTATTTGGCCAGGACTTAATTAAATGCAAACAAGTAATGAGCTGTGCTGTATCATTTAATCAGTGAATCATATAATAAAACAATTATTGCTGTTTTTTTCGGTCAACACAATGATTTAGCCATCTTCGAAGTACAATATTCACCGAGCCCGAAGGGCTCGGTGAATATTGTACTTCTCAGATGGCTAAATCATTGTATTGACCTCAAAAAACAGCAATAATTGTATAATATAGTGTTTGTCACATGTAAAGTTGCATGCAAAAACATAGAGGTTTAACTGTAATTAAAAAATAAATGATGTTTAAACTTCACATATGCGTTTTATGTATTGCTTTAAATGTATCATAAAATGCAGCTCTCTGTGTCATTCATGCAAGAAAGTGGTAATTACAAACTAGATAATAAAAATTTTCAAATATTTTTCCGATTCATCAGACGGCTTTGTATATTTCTAGAGAGCATTTAAATATAGATATTTAAACACCTTGCTCGGAGCAGTAAAAAAATAACCTAGCACGTAAATATTTATTTTTTTTTTACAATAGCTCCAAAACAATGTGAAGCAGTTACAGTTAAAACTTTAACAGTTTATAAACATATCATTGTTTAACAGATACTGTAAAATCAAATATTTTCGTGGGGTCAAATTTTCGTGGTTCGTCGATCAATAATAAATGAGTACTTACGTATGTAACATTTTACATCCCGAAGTGGGCATGAGTTCGAGGGTCTAATCATACCTTTAAAACAACGAAAATTAAAATCCCACGAATACTTGTGATTTCACAATAGTTAAACCCTGCACACTAAAGACTTGCTGTGTAAGTCATTACAATGGTATATAAATTTAACAGTGATCTCGAACCTTAATCAGAGGAATATGAAGGTTTACTTTAAAAGCTATCATGGAGGATACAAAGGTTTGCTGGAAGAGCCCTTTCAGAGAAGAAGCTGAAAATGTACATATGTTGACACAGGACGCACGACGGAGGAAACACGACGATAAACTAAAAGTAAAGACTTCCATTTTTTTCAGCAGAGGATCGTTTCCCCATTTATTCAAATGTAAAACTTTTATTGTGTATTGTGTGCTCCTCGCTGTGTCATAATTTGAACCAACTTTATTTTACACAACCTGAAGATCCGTCTGTATCGGTCTATATTTACAAATAATCAGTTTTTTTTTATGAAGAGAGTTTGCCTATTTATTCCTATAAAAAAATCCCCTGAGTTCATTATTTGGAGAAACTTGAATCTACCTGATTATAACTAATTTTAACAAATAATGGCGTTAGTCTTTTTGAGTAGACCATGATGACCTATTGCGGTCCAATTCTTTCCTTGAAGGTATTAATTTGAACTACGTTGACTCCTCACTATGCAATGAAACTTTCATATAAATTTCAGTTTTTCTGGCTCAGGCTGGTTTTTGTTGAGAAGCTTTTTGAAATATGCCACCTACTTTTCACAAATTGCAATTTATATCACTCATAGAAAGAGGGAATGTTCATTTATTTAAACAATTGTGGCGAGTTTGGTTGAAATTCGTTTAGTGGTTTTTGAGAAGTTGAAAATGAAAAAAAAAATATACAGAAGCAGACAGTCAGATGAACACAAAACAAACTATGACCAGAAAAATTCATTTGAGCTTTCAGCTCAGTGACAGGTGAACTAAAATAAAGACCTTAATAAGAGTCAGTCAAGTTTGTTCTCTAAAAAAATAACCCACTTAAACACCATTGGTAATTATACAGTAGGCAATTGGAATTATCAACTTATTGTGTATTATTGTTGTTTAATGCTGGGTGATAAACATTCCACTTCGGTCATTAGAAATAATAACAGCTCCAGTATGTAGTTTGTTGTTCAATAATTAACGCACTAAACTAAAATGTAATGAACTGTCATTTAACAATTAAAACCATTCAACCTCAACACTGTGTTCTTCTTAATGCATAATATATACTGGTAGTATAAAATTACACAGCGTAATCATTGCTCCCAGTTAAGCAAGAAGATTTTCTAAAATGATACAGACCGAATTATAGAACTTCACAGGCGGCTTTGTTTCTTTTGCCGATCGTGTTCAATACAGATATTTAAATACCTTGCTCAAACAAAACAAAAAAAACTTGAAACAATTGACAGGTAGATAATGGTTATGGAATCATGTGACCTAGAACACCCTTTGTATTTGTATTTAGTTGCTTAGTGGAGCTACCATTACTTCACTTGTCAACAGGTAATTATTAATTATAAAATTAAACTAAATCCTATAATTTTCCTCTAAACAATTTTATAGTTGCATGAAAACATTTTGTGACTTTTTATGTTAAGTTTTTATATTCTTACAAACGTATGTATCTGAGTCATATTTATCGTTTTATATACAAAATCGATTTCTTCTTCGGGAGAGGGGGGAATAAATATTCCAATATTTGTCTGTTTAAATTTAAATTCAAATTAAATCTGCGAGCACAAGGCATGATTCATTAATGTAAATTAAAAATTAAACAAGCAAAAAAAATAGTTTAAGGTCTGTAAATTTCATTGAGTTTAAGTAGATGGATCAAAGGTCTCATGTATATTCAGAAAAGAAAAACAAAAATGGGGATCTGTGATGTAAAAGGTATTACCGTGTTACTTTTATGCTGAAATTGGCTCATTTTTTCCTGAACTTTCAAAATATATCAACCGTACTTGTTTCAATATAATAAAGGAATTCATTAGAAATAATTAAGTGAAAATCTTACAAATCTGTTTGATCAAAATCTGCTCAAAATCTCGGGATCAAACCTCTTATAATTTATTATTTCAGACCCCAACACTAGTTATGGACCCTCGTACCAGTGCCCAGGATTTAATCCGATGTGACCTGTGTGAGACTGCTATAGTACAGATGCACTGTGATATATGTCTGGTCAACCTATGTAGGGCCTGTGTAGGAGATCATATTTCAACTGATGAAATCAAGGATCACAGAGTGGTAAAATATCAGTCTAGGAATTCTACCCTAATCTACCCTGGATGTACTTCCCATGAAAAGGAACAATGCGAGATGTTCTGTAGACATTGTGACATTCCTGTCTGTCACACTTGCCTGGCATCCAATCAACATCTTAGTCACAAGCTCTCAAAACTTTTGCACGTTGTAGGTGAAAAGAAAGACTTGATCAGGAAAGAACACAAAGAATTAAATGAAACAGTTTATCCCACCTACAAGAACATGGCAGTTGATGTGCAAACCAGTATGAGTCGGTTAGAGAAGGAATATGGAGATCTATCAACAGTCATAACAAAACATGGAGAGGAATGGCACAAACAGATTGACCAACTTGTCAGAAAACTTAAAACGCAGCTCAATAAAACAAAGGTCTTGCAGTTACAAACGTTACAGAGACATCTAGATGAAATTCACATGAAAATTGTTAATATTAAAGATGTTATTGATTCTCTTGCTATAGCTGCAGACTCTAATGACATTTCAACACCGTTCAGTGTTAGATCCAAGGTAGAAAGATATAAGAAACTTCCACAAAAGCCTGTTCTGCCTGTACCAAAATTTATTCCAGGGACAATATCAATTCAAGGGGGAGAACTTAGTAAACTATTTGGAGCTTTATCATCCATTTCTTTTCAATCAGAAGAGTATAAACACAGTATGAAAATAACACCAAAAAATCCGAAATTTGGATATATAATGGCTCAACAATCATCAGCATTTCAATGCCGACATCCAGTAAAAAAAGTACTTGAGACACCAAGAGTTTCCATAAGAAATATTTCATGTTTGGGCTACCATGAAAATGATGCATCTGGTTATTCTGGAAATACAGCCTCAGGATACACTGAAAATGTTGTCCCATACTTCCCTGGAAGTTTTATCTCAGACTATCCTACAAATCCTGCCGTAGGGTACCCTGGAAACGTTGCCTCAAGCTTCCCAGGAAATGTTGCCTCAAGCTTTCCAGGAAATGTTGCTTCAAGCTTTTCAGGAAATGTTGCTTTAAACTTTCCTGGAAATGATGCACTAGGCGACCCTAGAAATATGATCTTAGATTACCTTAGAAATCCTACTATAGGCTATCCTAGAAATGTTGCCTCGGTTGTCTCAGACTACATCAGAGATATTGCTTTAAACTACCCTCGAACTTCGAACTACCCTGGAAATGTTGCCTGTTTTGGAAACGAAATGACTTGGTTAAGTGTAAATAGCGACATCATGACACTCTACCGTTTCAATCATGGCTTACAAGTCAAGACAATAAAAACAAAGTCAGGAAACAACCCGTCAGACATAGCAGTCACACATAGTGGCGATCTTGTTTACACTGATTACAGAGATGGATCTGTCAATATTGTGAACAATGGGGGCATAAAGGAAATGATCAGACTACAGTATTGGAGACCTCACGGAGTCTGTAGCACCTCCTCTGGTGACTTCCTGGTTATCATGGAAAGTAATGAAAACAAACAAGCAAGGGTTGTCCGATGTTCTAATTCCAAGGAGAAAAAATCCATACAGTTTGATGATGAAAGTAGACCTCTTTATTCATGCAGTGCTTCTGATAAGTACATATGTGAAAACAGGAATCTGGATATCTGTGTGGCTGACGGCGGAGCTAAAGCAGTAGTAGTTGTTAACCAGGCCGGAAAACTAAAATTTAGATATTATGGACGAACTCCTTCACCACGAAATAAACAATTCATTCCAAGAGGAATCACTACAGACAGTCAGGGACACATTCTTACTTGTGATGATAACAATAAATGTGTCCATGTGATAAATGAAGATGGAGATTTTATACGTTACATTAGCTGTGAGAGTCTTTACATACTATGTGGGTTGTGCACAGATACAGATGATAATCTGTTCCTTATTGGTTATGAACATATCTCATCCAGGTGCACGTTAGAGTCTTGTGTGTTAAAAATAAAATATCTAGATTAAAAATCATTATATTTATATTGTACCTGACACGCAACCTAAACAGTAAAAAAAAAACTACTTTAAACAAATATATTTCTTATTTTATTTTAGTTTAAGTGAATTATTTATTTTCCAAAAAAGCATTACATATTAAATACAAGTAAGGCGTCAATCCTTCGTTACGACTTTGTATCCCACTGTACGACGTAGAGATCGGTCCTTCCGATGAGACCGTTAAAAACCGAGGTTGCATGTCGTAGTACATATAGGTATTGCCAAGAAAAAGATCCCTCCCTGCTCAATGGCCCTGAGTGTATGCCAAGTTTTGCAGCTCTTTAATGGCAAGTGCTGGCGCCCCACATGAATGAAAAAATCTCAAGAGGGACTTTGAAAAAAACAAACAATCATATCAAATACAATGTACCGTAATAGTTAGATCTGATTTCTTTGATAAAAGTAAGGGATATCTATATATTTATGTCAGTCAAAGAACCAAGCCACATTTTTCTTTGAATCAAACTATCAACCGGAGTAGATGTACCAAATCTAAAAGGAAAAATATCCATTTGATATGTCAAAATTACTTTGCAAAATTAAATGTTTTGGGAGGTGCACTTCTTCCATGTGTCATTATTACCACGTTCATTCGGTACCTGAAACATTACCAACAATATCAAATAGGGTAACCATAATTTAACCTATGGTTTTGTTGAAAGGACAATGACATCTACATATAAGATATTTAAATGTAATTACTTATTTACTGGTTTGAATTGATAAACAATGAAGGTGACTGAAGTATGTACCGGTATATTGATTACCTGAAATTAAACCATTAAAATGAAGCAATGAGTGGTTTTTATATCATAAATCTTTTCTTTTTCATTCAGTCATTTATTAATTTAACTATCCATATTCAATTAATTTGTGAAAAATCATCACTATTCAACATAGAAAAATATATTGAAGGCATCACATTGGCTACAAACTTTCTACTTTTGATGATCGTACTCCTGATCTATGCAATTTGATTTCCGAGTCGGATAAGATATTCATCGGATAATTGAGAAATAAAAGAGATGTACACATTAAACCTGTTATAATTGAATTGTTCATTATGTTTTATTTGTAGATGACTGTAATAGAAATATGTCCGGTTGTTCAACTTCATTAAAGGTGAGGTTAAAAGCCAAGCTTTCTAAATACTTGGACAGCCTAAATGTACGAGGGTTGTTAGGTTACCGTTAAATCGTGGACATGTTGTCTAGATTGAAAAGTAATTCTTACTGCGTTCTAAAAATTTCACTACTCTTTTAGTTGATTTTTCTAAATAATACTGGTTTGCATATTAAATTTCAAATGGATATACAATATATACATACAAAAACAAATAATGAAACTCTATGTTATGACGCAGGGGTGATGACGCCCTTTAGTGTCTAAAGCAGTGTCACATTTCTTCTTTGCTAACAAAAGTTGGATACGTCCTACTGAAGGTAGATCGCGGGTTTACCGTTTGCCTGAAAACATATGCTAAAAATTTGTCAGCTGACTCCTCTCGTTTGAAATTTTTCTTTCTGAAATTTTTTTGAGATTCGTCTGCGTGGTTAGATTGTAATCGTAATTCAAATGCGCTAATGTTGATGAGAACAGGTGACGCTTTTTCAATGAAATATATAGTAAAATGTCCCTTTTCTGTCGGTACAGGCATTTCAAACCCATAATCATAGCATTAAAACGAAGCAGACGAATTTTATATTACTCGATACAATGAATATGAAGCAAATTTAGAATCGATTCATTTAAAAAAATTAATATGTGTTCTCGCTCAATTTCTTGCAAAAAAACTTCAAAGTTTTACAATTTTCATCAGAAGTATTAAAATTTTCATCACAACGTTATATTACGTTGGTGCGACGTCATTATTTTCGTATGCCTGCATGACTCGAAAAAAAATGAATTAATCAACAAATCACTCAAAATAAAGCATGCGATCCGTGAATTCAATTTCCCGATATAATCTTTGCCATAGTTTACCAACAGCGTGGCACTATTTCAGAGTCATGTGTGACTAGGGATGCAGAAAAATTATAAATCTATAACAGATGTACATGGATTTAAGAAAAAAACATCTTACCGGATTTGAGAACATTATCAAACATATGTATTTTTTGCATCATTTTTATCTATTAATAAAATGTACCCGATTTTAAATCGGAAATATTGCTGTTGAATTAAAGTAGCTTTATGACGTACATTGTATACATTTATACTCCATAGAATGAATTAATTTTGTCTATCTCTGAATTAAAAGACTTCAATTTTCCCTTCAAAATGTCGTAAAGGCCATTTCTTATCATTATTTTGCCGATATATAGAATTCTATAGAAAGCATACAGTATACTTTAGAAAACAGGTATCAATTAATGCTATAGAAAACATCACTTCTATATGCTCGTGCCCCCTTAATTAAAACGCCTGATACCCCGTCCTTTTTATGCTTGTCAAGGAATTTTTGGTTGTTGATAGTACCCCCAACTGAAAATATATGCGAGTAGCTAGCTGAAATTGCTTCCTAAGGGACTGCAACTCTTGCCTTGACACCCCCCTCACTCAAACAAAACACCAATTGCAGTTGTAAGCCGAATCGCTATTGATTGTCAATAATAATAGGGTCTGAATTATAGATGACAGTTTATAGGACCTACATATTTTATTTAGTGATGTTACCTAAATCATTAACGTCTCTCCTGTTGATAATTACTGAGTATCTTACACCCTCCCACCCTACGCCCTGAGAGAAAAAAAAGCATCAAGAAGAGAAACTTATGTACAAATTATAGTACATTTATATTAGCATATTGACGTCCCATATAGTGTCCATTTCTTTCTCGTTTTAAAAATCATATACCTATACTTGTCTCAGACAATATTGTTGCGGATAAAAATATTACCAATCTACGCGTACATCATCACGAAGAAAATGGATACCTTGTATAATGAGTTAGAGACGATTGTAAAACAAATAAAAATAAAGAAGATTTGTATATAGACTTAATTAAACAAACAAAACAACATTCAAAAAAGTGAACAAAAAATTATGTTTTTGTATTGTATCAACAATTAAGCAGTGGTATTTTAGAAATGAACGTACACACAACAGATAGCAGCATTAAAAACTGCTTATAATGTAAAAGACAACCTTGATCAAAACATCATGTACTCTCAATTACACACAAAAAATATTTAATACACCAAAAAACCCTTAATATATATTTCACTTTTTACTGCATACAGTAGATATCTACTGCTGAAGATAGTTTTTGCCTTGTTAATCTGAACGCGGTAAACTGTTTACGTCAAATCCTATAGTGACGTCAGCAAACCCGCAATCTACGTTAAACTAAAGAATTTCAGTGATGTACAAGCTTGAGTTTCCCTTGTTTCCTCTTTAAATAGTCGACGCAAACAAGTGCAACCTCTTATGAGACCTTCTGAAGATATATTAGTAATCTATGGACAGGATTCACAATATCATTTAATGAATAGGCAATACCTGCAGTTATAGTGTTTTTGACTATAACCAAAGACGTTTGTCCGTGTGTTTTGTTCTATCCTGTGATTTGATATAAAAAAGTTTGCCAAGAAAACGTCCATTTCACGTGTATACTAAAGATCTGGTGATATTTTCATATATTTCTTCTTAATTTGTTCTGTGTCCTTTAAAGTCTCCTTAGGCGTCATTACTACATCTAAATTAAAGTGAACTGCTCTCAAGTGCTCTGTAACATCGCCATTTCTCATGTATTATTTTTACGACTTAATCATAAAATTAAGCAAATGCCTTGAAATTTTCAAAAAGATGACAAAATAGATAGTCTATTGAAAATAGGATAATTTTCACTTCAGTTTAGTTATTTGATACTTTTATTTTGATATAATGCTTTTGTTTTTCACTTGAAACTATATTTTGATCGTGCGCCGTAGGAGATAGTACCCTTTGCACATTCAAACATAATAAAAATCCTCATTTTGTCTATAATTTTAAAAAATGAATAAAATGCACTAAAACATGAAGAAAAAGAAACATTTGTTGAAAATTTCAGCTCAGTGCGCCCATTAGCTTTCGGGGAAAAAAGTTTTGTCCATGAATTTATCGGACAATCTTCGAACGTTACTGTGGACGGTTAGTAACAAATTCATAGAGTATTTGGTTCTTGTCCAGAAATAATGGCGTTTATTACCCTTAAAGGCTTAATGAAAAATTTGAATATTGTTTTGATCCTGGCCTCTCATTAATATCCAAAAAGGAAAGAAAACTATTTCTGTAAAACATGGTTTGGTATGGGGACACGCCTCCTGACAACTAGCTGAACATTCTGTATCCATGTAATCCTCCCATTTCCAGTCCTCGGGAGTCATGCAAAATGCCCGGTTTAATAAATGTACCTTTAACTCCAAACAGTTACTCAATCTTACCTCATGTAAACAAACATCATGACTGCTAGACCTATGTATAAGTTCTTATCTCCATTCGCTTCATATCACCTGTGTTACTACGTTTCTATTATTGAGTGTCAAATTTGAACTTATATAATAAAAGGCAATACAATTTTACATCTGCAGTTGTAAGCTAATTTCAAAATTAAATTATAAGGAATGACACTAATTCTTTGCCAAATTATTCTAATTAACCTGGAATTAAAGTCATTACTTTAATAACTTATTTAACTGTGTTTGCTTGCCGTCTTGTTCTTTCAATTTTGTAACTGATAAGAAGCAATACTCTCAATTATACCAAAGCATATAGTCAAATTAATAGGGATGAGTTAAGTTCATAGATTTGTTTCAATAGCAAATTATGAAAATAGAACGTGCATATTCTTTTTCAATCCAGTTTAGATTCAGCTACGACTGTCTTCATCATGGGCGATGTAATCTGGCGGCGCCTATCCCTCCCCAGCTGAAGTTACCCCGTAACCTGGAGGTACGCTTTGGCCCTGGACACTTGGTTGTTGAACTTTTCTGGAAGCCCTTCCGCCCCGGTCGTTGACCGCTGTCCAGCTCCTCCGCCCTTCTAGTGGTGCAGTGTCAACACCACCCATCACGTGGTTTAGCAGTCCAGCTGATGCAGTTTTCCAGAGTGTGGCGCTTGGAGCCATCACCTGAAAGATTAGGGGATGACTGAGGATGGGTGATATGAAAAGTAAACAACTGACTGCTGATTATTGATGTATTACCTATATCTTTATTGACAGGTCAGAATACAAAGCACATGTCAGGTTGATAACACGAATGTGTCATGTGAGAAGAGTATAGACACACATTTTGTAATTTTGAAAACGGACGGAAAGAGTTTATATTAACATAAATTTTACAATTCATTTTTAATACAATTTTACGATGACTATTCTTTTACGCAAGAGCATGCCCTACGTATGAAAAATTTCTAAAACGAAGTAAATTATTAACCAGCAAGTTGATAAAAAACAAGAATATCAACAGTTTCGTTTAAAGTCTTCATTTCGTAAATTTTTTGGTTGCTACAATGACCTTGTCAACAAATACAATTTATCATTGAGTCAAAAACTGACTGACATTTTTCATACTTATGGTTAGTCCATTTTATACTTAAACATCACGTCTTTATAAACATATATGGGTGCTAATTTCAATTCTCTCTTTCAACACTACTTTCAAGCAGTCTTAATATTGAAACACATTTAAAGAACGCTTTTAAGTTTTGTGTGTCTTATATTTACATTTTACATGTTTAAAGCACCATAAGTATAATATTTGAATATCTCGCTACCCTATATCGTTGACTTTTTACTTACGTTGCTATAGCTTCATTGTGACGTCACAATAGCGAGAAATTCAACGTGTATATTTGTACGCGTGATTATACACGATTATAGTCTTCAAATTGATTTAAAACAGTTGGCTTAGTAGAAAAAACGCAGCTAGTGTAAATAAATGTATATATGTTTGTATTTGTATATCCCAAACCCCTATTTGTCAGTGAAACAATGTGAAAAGTTCCCTCTTTTTAAGATGCCCAAGTCACTGACAGTGTTTTATTGACAAGAATTAGTCCATGAGAAATCTATGAAGGCTAACAGGACATGAGTTTAGCCTGGCACTGATGTTGTTCAAAATACTTTGGGCTTAGTGGAGTTTAGAAGATCGAGTGGTTTTATTCTTCAGAGAACATTGGAATTCACCAGTATGGTTACCGTATTTGTTAAGTACATTCCTTGAAATGTTTTCAAACAATGAATTTAAAGCTTTTACCATTTTCAGAGCCGTAAGGATAAGGGATGGATCCCCGTACCAGTGCCCAGGATTTGATGCGATGTGACCACTGCGAGACTGCTATAGTACAGATGCACTGTGATACATGCCTCGTCAACCTGTGCAAAACCTGTGTTGGAGAACACATCTCAATCGCTGGATCAAAGGATCACAAGGTGGTCAATTTTCAGTTAAGAAATTCTATTCCCCTCTTCCCTGAATGTACCTCCCATGAAAATGAACAATGCGAGATGTACTGTAAACATTGTGACATCCCTGTCTGTCAAACTTGCCTGGCATCTGATCAACACCTAGGTCATAAGTTGTCAAAAATCTTGAACGTAGTCAATGAAAAGAAAGACTTGATCAGGAAAGAGCAAAACGAGTTCAAGGGAACAATTTATCCAACCTATCAGGGCATTGCAGCAGATACGCAAAACAAAATGCGTCAGTTAGAAAAGGAATACGGAGAGCTCTCAACAGCTATAAAAGAACATGGAGAGGACTTGCACAAAGAAATTGACAAACTTGTCAGTAAACTGAAGGCTCAAGTTGAAAAAATGAAGACTTCACAGTTACAAACTTTACAGACACAGCTTGATGAAATCAACAAGAATGTTGCTGACATTAAAGATGAAATTGATACCCTTGATATTGCTGTAGACTCTAATGACATTTCAAAAGTATGCAGTGTAAAATCACGTGTAGATCAATATAAAAACCTTCCACAAAAGCATGTACTGTCTGTGCCAAAATTTACTCCAGGGACAACCAAAAGTAATGAACTTATTAAATTGTTTGGAGATTTATCATCAATTTCTGTTAAATCGGAGGAGCATGGATACCGTATTACGAAATCACAAAAATCACCAGAAATGAAACCTCCAGAAGTTAATTTTCCCCCGTTCAATCAAAAAACAATTGAAAGAAGATGTCAACCTGTCAGACTAGTAAAAAAATTCCTTCAGATACCAAAGATTCATTCTGAAAGTATTGCATATTTTGGCCATCTTCTAAATGTTGCATGTTTGAAAAACGAAGAGATATGGATATGTGGAAATAGCAATACCATGAAATTATACAAATTCGATTGGTTCTTTACATTCGACAGTCGATGGAGTCGGGACCAACCACTAAAAAGAATCACTACAAAATCAGGAAACATACCATCAGACATAGCGGTGTCAAGAAGTGGAGATCTTATTTACTCTGATTACATGGATAGGACTGTCAACCTTGTGGAGAATAATTTCAACATAAAGGAGGTAATCAGACTACAAAACTGGAGACCTGGAGCTGTATGCAGCACTTCTACTGGTGACCTCGTGGTTACTTTGGAAAGTGATGACAAAAATCAATCAAAAGTTGTCCGATACTCTGACTCCAAAGAGAAACAATCCATTCAGTTTGATCATACGGGCACACCTCTCTATTCAAGTGGTCTTTCCTTTAAGTACATATGTGAGAACAGGAACCTTGATATTTGTGTGGCAGACTGTGGAGCTAGGGCGTTAGTGGTGGTCAATCAGGCGGGAAAATTTAGATTCAGATATTACGGACATACTCCTTCCCCAAAGCATCAACCATTCAGTCCAAGAGGAATCACAACAGACAGTCAGTGCCACATCCTTACATGTGATGATAACAATTACTGTGTTCACATCCTAAATGAGGACGGAGCGTTCATATGTTACATAAGCTGTGGGGAAACATTTACACTACATGGACTGTGTACAAATACTCGTGACAATCTGTTTGTTCTTAGTTCCAGAGGATACACTTTTCAAGATATTGTAAACTTTTTTCGGTCTGATGCTAATTCAAATATTTATAATGTGATGAAAATCAGATATTTACTGTGAGATAAACCATATTGTTTTTTTTTTTGTTTAACTATTTAACAAATGTGTACATCTATACTTAATAAAACAAATGTACTTCTTATTTTGTCTTTATCTTCATTAACATGATGTTAATCTCCCACCCTTTTTTGTTGAAAAAAGTAGCTTAATGATATATGTACACTGTATGATAAAAAATTACATTTATTTTGGTAATTGCAAAAAGTGTGTTCTTTATGTATTTAGTTCATAAATACTGATCAATTAAAAGTACAGATTCTATAGAACCAGTAATAAAACACAAAAGGTCTACACTACGATCCACATCGCTCGCTTCAGCACTTTGACTAGAGAGAATAAGAAATAAGCCAAATATTGGAAAGATTCAATATATATGTGGTTCCAACGGGGACATGATTTGAAAAAAATGTGAAATAACACAAACTGAGGATGTTTCTTAATTAATAAGATTTTCTTTACATAATCTTTAATAAGGCTGCCCGAAAGTTAAATATGCATTGTTGCAACCACTATTGAAATAATTACCACAATTGAAATAATTATATCAATAGTGGTTGAGAGTGCATTATCAATAGCATTATATCAATAGTGGCTGAGATGCACTAAAATAACAAATATATAACCACTGTGGAAATAATTATATCAATAGTGGTTGAGAGTGCATTTAAATAACAAACATAGGTTGCAACCACTATTGAAAAACAACCACTATTAAAAGAATAATTTCAATAGTGGTTGAGAGTGAATTTCAATAACAAACATAGGTAATAATCACTATTGAAATACAACTACTATTGAAATAATTATTTCAATAGTGGGTGAGTTTCATTTCAATAACAAACATAGGTTACAACCACTATTGAAATAATGTCCACTTTTGAAATAAAGATTTCAATATGGATTAAATAATTGATTTCAATTTTGCATTGAACAATGAATCCAATATATATTGAAATAATTATTTCAAAAATTGCTGACGCGGTAAAACTTTTCTTTCAATACGAGTAGTATTTTAATAATGGTTGAAACCTATGGTTACCATATTGAAATGCACTCTCATCCACTATTAAATAATTATTTCAGTACTGCTCGTATTTCTATAATGGTTATTACCTATGTTTGTTATTGAAATGCTACATATCATTGTTAGTTCAGTTGACGGAAGACGGATATGGAGATAACGAACAGTATTCAAGATAAAAGTCCATAAAACAATACAAAATAGAAGCAGAGCAAACACGGACATCCAAAACATCAGAAGTGGAATCATGTGCCATGGAGGAGTGAGCATCCCCTGCTCACCGGTCACACCTTCCATGTGCTCCTTGTCTTGATCAGGTAATAACGAAAAAATCCGTTGTCAATTCAGTGTATAAATAATGGACTAACAATGAATATGGAAAACATCAGTCAGGATTTGACAATTGAGGTAATGATTAATTGTATTTGCTGACAAGGTCATTGTATCGACCATAGAACGTACGAAATGATGACTTATGAACCAATTTCGTTTGACATAAAGTTAAGATGTACTTGTAAAACTATAACATTTGACATACAGTGCTATAGATTTATAACAAAGATATCATATTTAGCATCAAATATTCTAATGCGCTTTAACAAAATATTTAACAGTGAATGGATTTGATATAATTTAAAATATTCCATGAAGAAATTCCATGATTCTCTACGAGTATCAATTAGGATACATGTCGCACTGAACAACAAACATTCAATATTGCAGATCTAAGGCAGCATAAAATAAATTATGATTTAAATTTTTTTTAATTACCGATCACGGTAGCTCAGTCGTTAGGGCGCTCGCTTCGTGATCGGGAGGTCGTGAGTTCGAATCTCGGCCGCGACTGACCTAAGTCGATAAAAAATGGGTAGCAGCTGTTCCTTCGCCATGCGCTCAGCACTTTAAAGTGAAAGTTGCAGGTCTTTCGGATGAGACCTTTAAAACCGAGTTCCCATATCACGGCAGGCGTTGGCATGATAAAGATCCTTCACTGCTCAATGAACCTGAGTGCCGAGTAAATGTCAAAATTTGAGGTCCTTCACCGATATATGGTGACGTCTCTATCTGAGTGAAAAATTCTCGATGGGGACATTAAACTATATACAATCAATCAATCTATTTTTTCCTCACCATACCCCTTGGGATAATTTGAACCGACTTGAATCTACACTACTTGAGGATGCTTCCA